TTGCAGGCTTATTGTTAGATTAAGTGTGCGTTTAAACACGAGATAAAGTCGAGTGGAGCAAGCCGGAACGCGTCGAAGTGAACTGGTGCGAGGAATGTTCATCGCTTGATTTTGTTACTTCGAAGAACAACTCCGTGAAATATCAGTTCACCGACTTCCTCTATTACCCTCCCCTCGTACCTTCCTTTATGAGAATCACTCATCCAGATCATTAAATGAAAATAACCAATTAATCGTATTTGATAAACAATTAACAGCCAACTTGTAAATTTCGCACCAGTGTATTTTAGCCCCTAGCAATTCTACCAATAAGCATAAACCTAATTGTGAGCCCAAACACAAGCCTAATTCGAGCAGATGAGGCCAAAATACACCAATACTGACCAATTAACAACTGATTCTCTGGAGAACACCTGCATTATCAACCTCTATGCAACTGCCATCCCTTCTAGATTTATCCTATCAAAAATAAATGTTTGGAATGTTGCTACAGTAAACAATCTCACCCGTTTCCTTGTTTTAAATTTTGCAAAACATGAAATGACACGGTGATTTATTCTTATATACATACAAATCAACAACTTTATGAATGAGATTAAAGAACAAGTGAATAGTTTCATGCAAAACTGATGCAATAGCCTGATTCAACAATCAGTTCAAATGAGCAATACTCCAGCAATAATGAACTGAAAGGGAAAGCATGATTTCATGATCTGTACAACTGGTATACGCACAAAATGAAGGCTATAGCTAAAAGTAGGATTCCTCATTTCGACATCGAACAAAATCGTTGTTATTTCACTTCATTTTAATTTCCATCATTATGATGTCGACTCGAATGAAAATTCCTGCGTAGATCACCTGATCAATATACCAAGTAAACGAAAAATCGTTTGATATGATCATTGAATTAATGAAAGAACGAAGCTAGTTGAGATAATGATGAACAAAATAATTGGAATACACGTCAACGACCAAAAACGTGATCGGAATGTGAATATCTAAACGATTGGACGAACTTTGTAAAACATGGAATAAGCATTCAAAGTGAATAAAATTCAATATGAAGAGAATGCAGCGATAATTCTATCGGATAAAGTACTTCAAAAACATTTAGTGAAAAGTTGATGAACAATGTGAGAATGTCTATGTGTAGAGTACGATTTCAAAAACAATCCCATCAGTTACATCCCAAAAGAGTGCCACTATCGGTGCATTCAACAATGGCTTACATTTTGATTTTACAGTACTCAAGCTTCATCCACGGAGATCAGTTGGGAATGCTTCGAATATGCAATGAAAAATGAAAAGAGGAAAAGAGAATGCAGTCGTGCGAATGCAAATGGTTTAATTCAATGACTGTCGCGCACAACAAAAGAATACCACAAATAGGAACGATTATCTGTGGATGAAAACAGTGGATGGTGCTTGTAATAAACGAACGGACGTGATACAGTTATCACTGAACGCTTTGATAACACCCATTATTTCAAGATCGGCGATACATTTGTAGAGACGTGTCAATGAACTGACTCCTTCTATTCGGTTGATTTCACCTTCAAATCTTTTCAACCAGTCCGCAATCGAGATATTCTTTGAGGATAACGCTATTGTTTGTAGCGTTCGATACGCTATGCAAATGTCCGGTTGTGACGTTTGATTTAACTGAAATATATAACGACTTATAAACATTCCACCGTGTTTATATTAGATTGAGTGATACAAAAGTATTCTGTATACACATAAAAGTTTTGATGACGATGAAATTGTTATCTACGAGTATTCCTCTTCAGCGGTTATATTATGTGATGGGCATTGCACACTGCAGAATTTCTGATGAAAAATCTAAGAATGCAGTGGAAATTTCAAATAAAACGAAAGAAGATAACCTTTTTAGAATGTTCGTTGGTAGATAAGAGCGAATGCTCCAGATTGCCAATAACTGACGGTGATGCCAACAGCGACGAAGAGTCATCTCCTCGAATAAGCGCTTCATCCAGAGCATTCACGTCTTCGAATCGTCTTAGTGCCGTCGAAAATATCTGCAATACTTTCGCGCTTAGTGCAAATTTGAAAGTTCAAATGAAATGAGACGATGCAAAAAATGATGAAAACCTTGGTGAGTAGTTTAACGAAACGTTGTCGGTCCGATGATAATAAATCCAACTTTTTCGCAATCGCCATCCGTTCCTTCAAAAACCATCAAATTATTGAAAGAAATTAAGCTGAAATAGAATTTCAACAATTCTACTTTGCAATAAACGCTCAGTGCACAAATAAACCGACAGAACTTCATGTTTTAACACTTACTCAATGCATAGATAAATGGCTTTAATAAAATACATTAACACTTTTATACGATTCTGAATCTTGCTGAGTGATTCTGCTAACGAACACTGCATTCAACGAAGACAACCTCAGATATTCAAGCAGACAACTAACCCGCATCTGCTGTTGCATCGCGAAATGAGACGACGTTGGTTTGGTCTTTGTGGCTGGCGACACAACATTTTCAGTCTCATTCAATGCAATTTGTTCACGCATCGCACTCTTTCGCGCATCCAAATTTTGCAGATCCGTTTGCAGATGCTTAAATCACATTCATTTATTTACTTTCAATTCCACTATCAGATTAATTCGTTCATCTCAAAACCAGCTCTGTCTCGTTCGTCTTTCGCTGTCTAATATCCATTTCTAGAACTATTAAGACACATTCCTAGCAATTCCTCTTCGAGACATCTTGAACTGCGATTACTCAGGTTTCTAGCAATGATCTTTGCTACGATTATCATCGATTTCTTTGAATTTTTCCTCCGTTAAGCACTTCAAATGGAACAATTTCTTCACGAGTGTTTCATTTCTCTTTTGCCGTCTTTGGCACCACCTCTTCTGAGAACGTGACGCTGTACAAGAATTAGAGAATTTACGAACTATTCACCTCAATTTCAATATAATAATCATTATTGAAGTTTTTCACATCCTCCATTAATTTGAGAAGAGTTCCGATCATTTCTTCAACACTCCACGTTAACCAAATACTTTTCCATTCGCTGCAAAATAACGCAAACGTTAATTCAATTTGCATTCGAAGTGAATAAAAAATGCGCAAATTCACAGTTTTTCACATACTTTCACAATACAATTTATCGCATTCTGCAATGTTCACATGATTTCTTCAATCACATTTGCACGTCTCTTTTGGATGTCTTAAATCTCATCACATGCGTCAGGCCAGAAATTTTCGATGTTCTAAATTACCAGCAGGAATTTTCGTTGAGAACGCAAATTTTTTCTTTTAAATGGAATGAAAGAATGCGAACAAACTGAGAAACGAAATGGAATGGAATGAAAGTAAAACTGAAACGATATGAGAAAATCACGGTGAGAAAAATACTCGGTGAAAGGAAAACTGAAAATGCGCACCAAAATAATCCCTCTCGATCGGTGAAGAAAGCACTTTTTGATTGCAAATCCGAATGCAGTTCGTATATTGAACGGTGCTGCGATGGAAATCCATCGCAAGCACTATGCAAATGCTTCAAGAATGCAAAATATCGCTCGATAAACACCAGACTCTCCTTAAAACAAGTACGCAACGATAAATGCCAATCCCAAACAAACGAATCTTACAATTCGTTGAGATCGACTGTTACGAGACAAGGAACGAATGAATGAAACAGTTCTGAGAATCAGATTTGCTCATTTCCGTCAAGTCAGTCACAACGCGACATGATTTTTATCCATTGACGAGTCAAGTGAAACTTCTCACTCAGAACACTTTCACAATGTGAAGCGAAACAATTTCATAAGTGAACAGATGAATACAAATACGCAGCACAAACACAAAAATGAGCCGTCACACCAACCCAACAATCAGATCCCGAATGCTCCACGCTAATGTAGTGATTCACTGCTGCAATACGAACCATTTTTTTCAACAATTCGTATGAATAATTTCTGCTGAGAAAATTTTCTCGTAAAGCATCGAATAACTTGCCATCAACTCTCAACTGAAATTATCAATTAAGTATTCCACATGGTTAATAACGCCTTCAATTTGTTACGAGTATCAATGATAATCTTGGAATGAATGCATAGGATTCGAGTATATGTGTGATCAGTTACTGATTACATAACGAAATTGCCGTCAAAACAAGAAATTGCTAACCGCACAATGTGGATTGAATGTAACTGAATCCATAAAAGTATTCAGTACGGTTGCCGGAGTGGGGCATTCGAATAGTCGAATTAATAACTGTGAATAGGTTTGTCTTGAACAGCGTGAGTACACAACACTCGCATCGGAAGAAATCGTCATCAATAAGACCAAACGTGAGTCACTGCATTACAATTGGGCATTTTATAAATGGAACCAGAAAATGAATACTTTTGAGAAGGTTATCAGTTGATTTTTTAATCACTGATTGATTTTGAATTCGAGATATTCACTCATATTCGATTAATCTTCAGAAAATCGCAATTTTTGACTTCATATAAAACAACTAAAATGATTCAATGATATTCTTTATTTCCACTCCTTCCTAAGCTTTACATTTGAAAAATATCTCAAGGGACATAGTCAGTTAAACTACATCAACGATCATTTGAAATGCAACATTTCGAGAAAATTCTATCAACTTAACGGGATCAACTGCTTAATTATTTATATCCATGCGCCTATTAATAAAATGATATTAACTGCAATGATGTCTGCACTGACCGTTCTGAATCGCAAACAATCGAAATGAAATCATCGATGAAATTTGCTGGCAGACATTCGACTTGCTTTATAATTACACATTTTGAATCCTTAAACAAGTTTCATTTTCATTGATCGCCTTGATTAGGTAATTCATTGAAAGAATATAACATCGATTCAAGAGCATTAACAAATGTGAAAATGCGGATAATTCATTTCAAAATTTGAATGAAATTGATGAAAGAATCAATAAATCAATTCGATAAATTACCAAAATAAATGATTCAAATTATGATGTTTCAACGAATACGATACCGACGTGAACGAACGACTGCATTGTTAAATATGCAAAAGCATCGAATACGAATCAAAACCAAAAATGTACCTCATTCTTACGAATACTATCAATGATTGTACACAACGGCGGTAAAGGCGCCGAAATACAAATCGGTTCCTTACCCAACAGCTTTTTCAGTGATTCATTCAGTGAGAAACCGTCGGCATTCTCACATCGAATCACACCAGTTGCCAATCCTGAATGTTCATCACATTTACACTTCGAAATCAACACTTTGTCTCTTACATTAATAATAAATACAGAAACTTTTTCACTTGTTTTATTGTTGAACTTTTCTATTTTTCCATAAATAAATGAAAATCTGAAGAAGACAATTAAATGAGAACGAAAGTGCGCATACCTGGACGCCGTTTATCAGAAGATTGCCAATGGCTGTGAACGAACGCGACGATTTCAGATAAAACATTTTCGTAGAGGGATGCGATCGATGAATCAAGTTCCTCTTCGAACGCTGATATGAAACGACGAAAGCCAGTCACCTTCGAGGCACTCAATAAGTGTTGATTCACAGCTTTACTCGATCTGCTATACTTCTCGCTTAATAACTTCCTTTTACCGTTCACAAAAACGCACCGATCCATTGCTGAAGGAATGCAAATTCACTCAATTGCACACTGAATATGAAATCGCCTCGTAATGCCCTGATGACAGTGTGCTATCACACAATTCAAAAAAAAGAAAATTATACTCCAACAAAAATACGATTCAAAATGTGCGAAAGTCAGGAACTAGATTGCTAATTGTTGTTCGAACTGAAGAGTTTGAATCGAAGTCAGAACTGGTGAATAGAAATATATTAATTGACGACATGAAGAACGTCTGAAAAAGTGGTAGATTAAATGATTTGAGAAATGATTTATTATCGGTTCGACAGGAATCACGATAAATCATTCATCGCAAGTACAATATTATGATACATTATGATCAATGCAAAAGGCAGCATTCATTCGAAATTATTACAGATAAACAGAAAAATATAACAACTGAGCAAATGATCTGGAACACATTCGATGAATAAAGTGCCCCAGAAATGATAAATCATTCAAATAAACGCTTCAAAAATTTTCAACAATCACTTCTATACGACAAAAATGATACATTTTTACACATTCCTCACAAATAATTCTTCATAAGACAAAGACCAGCACTGCGGCAATTCCCAATTGATATTGAATATATGACTAAATCCGATTCACGATCAACGTTTCGCTACTGATTCCGAACGGAATTCAGACCTAAATAGTTTTCTAATTTTTCAAAATGACTGATTCAGATTTTCTTCAAACGCTCCATAACACCGTCAAGTGCCTTCTGAACATCGATACGTTTAAAAGAACTTTCAATGACTGCATTGCGCAGTTTATTGACGCATTTCGTTCTAGCGTTCCGCGATCTGGCTCGTGAAACGAGCTCGCCTCGTTCGCGAAACACCTCGTCCACAATATTCAATATTTCATTCCAGTCATTTATTTGCCATAAGTTTTCTTCCTCAACGATCTAGAACATCAAGCAATCATTTAATTGGCTCGATCATTACGAGATGACTTTATAACTTCAGATTTCACAGATCCAGACAGCTTTTAATAACATAAATTGAATAAAACTTTAACAGATTATCGGATAATCTGATATGATACTGACTACATAATCACAATATCAGAATAGATCTTTCAAGAAATACCTCTAAAGGCGTTGATAACAGAGAACCACATGCGTAGCCTTTCAATAAATCGATTGTTGTTAAACGAGTTAAACGCGATTCGCTATTCAAATATATCAAAGTTGCAAACGTTGAAGCAAAATCGCCACTGAAAAAAATTCATTATTTCAAAGAAGAGACTATTCCAATAGCAAGAAAGTTTTCATTGAAATCAATTCGTCGTTTTCAAATCATTTCACCAATTCACAATAATATTTACACTTGTCGGCTAGTTTCAAATAAAATCTATCACTACGGAAAAGATGAAGAAAGCAAAATTTTATAAATGACACTTCACACACTAAAAATAAACCACCTCGTTGGTGGATAACTTGTATTCAAATTTGCACAAATCCTTTTCAGTTCCTTCAGCCATTCCAATAGAAAATTCACGTCCAAACCGGACTGTTCACGGAGAACCGCTTCGATAAAATTTGTCTGCTTTTCGTCCTTCTTAAAAGCAAGCAATGGGGTAACCCTTCTCTATTTTTATTTCAACATTCATTGAGACGTTTTGATATTTTGATATTCCCAACGCTATTCCAGTTAGCTGAGAGGAAAGATTAATGCCAAGGAAGGAAGAATGTGATGTAGTGATGTCAGTGATATTGGTAATAACAGAGAGGTATAAACTCGTAATGAGTTGGGTTTGCTGATCAAATAAAAATTAATAAATAAAATTCATTGAGGACATCTCATTGTTTTGTGATATGAACTTTTAATTCACTCATCTCGAACTGAATCAAATGTATAAACAACAGTGAAAAAATTATGATGAATGATTGGTCTTCTTTACTAAATTATTTATCTGCTACTGGAATAGACAATTTATTTCCAAGCACCCAATCAAAATGATATCGAAAAAACGAAATAAAACGTAAGTTGCGGATCAGAAGTTGTCAAAAAACGTGTTAACGCACAGTGATGTACAGCGCAGAGTCGCAATCAAAGCCGTATTCGTTGATGAAGTGTAAATATTTGGGGATTCGTTTGATATTCTTTTCGACGTTCTCAATGAGTTCATCACTGATAACCACTGTTGGTAGATTCGGTTCAGGCATGAAACGATAATCGGTTTCAATTTCTTTCTCCCTCATCTCTACCGTATGTCTGTAAATTAAATGAATCATCAATTGCCAGTAACGTTATTCATCTATCAGCAGTTAATAAAACAATTACGCACAACCAAAATACTCTGGAAAATTCCAATGAAATGAGAATTTCTAAACATCACTAAAAAAGTTTCGTTGAGCATTCGCTCCAACATTTTCGATCCGAAAATATTTTGAAGCGAAAAAAGAATCAATAATTCTTAATGAATAAATCCATCAAAAGTTTTCGCTAAAGTATTTCTTTCGAATCAGAACGATTACGATGGCAATTAATTCAGATTTTTTGTAGATAAATATTCTTCCGGAAAGAAATCGTCGCATAGACTCATTTGATTTATGAATGGAACATGATGACACTGTTTGATAGTAAGCGAATGCTTCGAATCACTCAAAAAGTCACCCTTTGTGATCAACAGCACGCGTTTCGTTGAGCACCTCGCCTCCGTTCTTGAGTATCTCGTGCTGACGACTTATCTCGTAGTTGATCGCCGAATAAACCGATTTCAAACTGTTTATGTTCTTCACCTCAGTTCGAACACCCAACCGCGGTGAATCTTCACTCGCAAGCGAAATATTTGCATCGACCCTCAGCTGACCTTCTGAACAAGTAAACACATTTACTTATTCTTATTTACTTGTTTCTTTTTTTGCTGAAGTATTCCTTTATTTACTTCTTTTGTCGAGTGTCGAGTAGGCACTAAACTATCAAACATTTGTTCATTGTAGGAATTTCATAACTTGAAAGGTATCCCTCTCGACGTGACTTCATATGAAACGCAATAACAATCTGCTAAAATGTTCGCTATCAAGAAGTCACATAGTAAATCAAAATCAAAATCATCGCGCAGTACACAACGCAGTATACAGTTGGT